TTAAAACATGATTCTTTCAAGCATTTTTGTTCCTTTTGAAATTAAATTTTAAGTATGCTCCATCTACTTAATTCTTCATAAGCAATACTCCTAATTAGAAACTTTCCTTTTTGTTACTCTTTAAAAACACATTTTTAACGACCTTCTGCACCCACCGACCCAATCACCAAATCTCCTATTCAATTGTGATATATTTCTAGACTATCATAAAGCTTCTATGAGAATCTTATCTCAAATTAAGTTTAGCTCAACTCATTAATTCCATTTTGCCTCTCTTAACAACATATTTTGAATGATAAATAATTTTTCACTTTAAATTCCATCACCTCATTCTAGAGCAGTTAGTTATTTTGTTTGCTTTATTTCTGCTCTTATTTATGTATCTATATGAATCTGTTTCGCAGGTGCTATCCTAACTAACTAGTATTCCATTAATCCATTCTATGTGGTATCCCGGTATCTATTGTGTTTTGTATCGTGTCACCAGCCCATTTACATACTTCATATGAGGTAATTTTGAAAAATTAAGAGCAATGGGATCTCTTTTGATTTGTCAAAGTGGGCGCAAAAAAGAAAAACATGAAAACCTAAGGCAGTTTTTAGATACATCAAGTAACGGATATGCAGTCAAACCTGTGCACCAAATGCCTTCAATAAGTTTCCACGTTCCTTTTCAATCTGAGAACGGGCCCTAGCATAATCTAATGCAGCTTTTGAAAGAGTGTTGCCACTTGTGCAAGTATTATCAACACCATATTTCCTGCTATCTTCAGATAATTTGGTACCTGCAGAGCATACCTTCCGGCATAAACATGACAGTTACCAAAAAGAAAAGAAGAGGAACACCTTGTGTGACGTACCTATTTCAACTTGCTTGGATCCAGTAACAATATAACCTTCCACACCACGCACTAAATCCCTTTGGAAATGCTGAAATGAGATGCATAAACTTATTTGAGAAATAAACCAAAAAATATCTCAAATTAAAAGAGAAAGTTGCTAACCTTTGCTGTGCGTGTTGAGGTAAATAGCTTTTCAAGTTTCTGGTGTTGCTGGAGTTCAAAGTCATCCGTAACAATGTTGTCAGAGCTTCCATAAAATTGTTTTAGGACAGCCTGAAATAATATCATTCAATACAAAAAGCATTAGATTTATAAGGACATTCATTTCTTCTTTGAGGATAATCCACCTAAGTATAATGGTTCACAGCAGAGGATATCACACAAAAGTTGGAAACAAGAAATGACTACTTCAAATTACTCCTAAATCCTAATCTCCACCTTAAATTTCAGCATTGCCTGAAATGGCCGTCAGACAGAAACTAAAATTATTTTATCTTGATCTTTTAGGCCAAATTTATTTCATTGAATGTATTTGATAGTATTCAGTGTGAATCCCACCAAAGTGAATTGTAGCGACATTTATTTATTTGGCTTGAACTCGCTTCTTTTGAGCTTAGTTTCTATGTTTGTAGGGACTACAAAGAGTTTCAATTCTACTCACTCTCCTATTAATTCTTCTTCACTGCTTAATCATTATTATAAGTTAAATTAATAATTATTTACCATCCCATTAATTTACTATTATTTATTTATATTAAAAGTAATATCGCTTCCTACCTCTCAAGATTGAAACCCTTTTTCACATTTTTGAAGGTGAGCCTCAAGAATAAGAACTCACTTTTATTTCAGTTTCAACCGAACAAGTGTTTGAACATACTTCTGAAATTGGGATGCAAATGCTTTTGGACACTTAAAACTAAAACAAATTGTCCTTATCTGATACAAACTTTAGTATAAGCTATGAGCAAGATGATGCTCAATTTTGTTCATCAAAACACATTGAAATGATGAAGGTATGAGAAAATATAGAACTACAAAAAATATAGCAACTTATAAATAATTTGGAGTTTGACTTTTAATTCATAAACTTTCAGGTTACACAAAGCACGTAAATCTCACACTGTTCTGACTAACATGGATTGAAAGACCAACTCTTACAAAGAACCACAATAAGTTAGAAGATAATATGAATAATTTTGAACATAATCTCATTAGCAAGAAATATACACTAGTCCAAAATAAAAAAGATTATTGTATTATTTATGCATGAGTACTTAGGGGCTGTTTGGTTAGATTCCTCGTAAGTGTAAACTATTCCAAATGCAAGGGTTTTGAAAATTTTGACATTTGATTGGATGAAAAAGGAATGCAAAGTAATGTAACATAAACCATCTAGTTCATTTTTTAAGTAAATCAAATTTGCCCAATTTTAAGCGAGAACAAATTACATCGCAAGAAAGGTCGCTTGATTGCCGCCACCCGCCCCCAGCCACCATCACTGCCACCCATCAGTCGCTGCCATCACCGTCGGCCACGGTCACCAACCACTAGCCGCCACCACCGACCACCGGCCACCACCACAATCATCAGCCAACACCGGCCACCACTGATGGCCCCCGCTAACCACCACCATCGGCCACCGTTAGCCATCACCGTCGCCAACCACCGCTGTTACCCGCCGCTGCCACCCGTCGGTAGCCATCATCTTTCGACTTTACACTGCATTCATTTAACTTCAAACCAAATAAAATAAAGCATTCACCTAAATTTACTTTACAGTCTTCCAAACAACTCCAAAGTAATCTTTTTACACAATATTCATTTTACATTGCATTCATTTTTTAGCAAACCAAATAGCACCTTAATCTATTAGGAGGATGTGAATCAATGGGGTATCAAAATACACCATTGGTCAAACTCAATTTCAACGCAAATGCTTAAATTTAAAAATGAAAGTTAGTAACTTGGCATTCCCAAAATATTTTTCAAAATGCCAATGGTCAAACTCATTTTCAACTCAAAAAATTAAGTTTACGAGTGAAGGCTAGCAACTTGGAACTTCTACCCTAAAACATTTTCCAACCAACCAATATGATATAAAATTCAACACTATCACATGCATTAACAATCTCTCCCACACATAGTCACATGAAAGGTCTCCACATCAAGTATAATTTCCCTCAAATGGAAGCTTTCATCATTATTAAGTAGCATGCATGAAGAGCTCACTCAACAACACGGATCCATCATGGGAGCGGCTTGCTGCTTGCCCTTGGAACTTGCTCATCCTTGCTCGACCACAATTGTAGACAAGAAAGTCTAATGGAGCCACCAATTGCATGAGACATTTGATCTCAATCAAACCATTGGTTGTGATGCCACTTATTAAAAGGACCACAGTTAAACTAAATAAACTAATGGCTAAACTCATGTTCAATGAAAAACCTTGAACTTATAACACCAAAAACTTGGCATTCCTATGCCAAAAAATTTCCAATTCTAATGCAGGACTAAACTAGATGTCACACATCTAAGCTAATAGATCTTATTATACTTTATTGATATCAACTTAGAAATGATAGTAATTAAGGCAAAAGAAAAAAAAAATACAGAACAATTCTCAGAACATCATGGCATCTTAACTCGCTTAAATGACAAATTACGCTTCATATTGCTCTTGATTTTAGAGGATCAAGATAAAAGTTTTGGGAGATTCTTATATTAGGGAGTATAAAACCAACAAAAGATTATAGTTGACAGAATGCACCAATGGTTAAACATGTTTTCAACCCAAAAGCTAAATCCTATAGATGAAAGCCAACCATTTGGATTTTTTAATTAATATTTTTCTCAATTATTTGATGTATGACTAAATCATTTTAACCTCTCAAACTACTACATTTAAAGAATGGAATCAAAGATGGACTAAAGTTAGGCCTAATTCAAT